ATTATTGTTGTCCTGGTTCATATGTCTCCGTTTGTATTGGTGCACATGCGATTGCAGCCGCGAAATGCAGGTGGAGCGAGCTAGTTCGGACAGCTCATCCGGCCGCCGCTTCCATCATTCCAATAGGAAAGAGATGGAGTCCTTGCTCAGGGACTTCCTTGGCGATTTTCTTTGTTTTTTTTTCTATTCGCAGTTAATTCAACTTCCACAGTTCCATTATCAACCATCTAACCCATAACGGACGGCGGCGTTTTTGCGTGAGCGGACCTGTGTGCCGGCCGGCTTTTTTACCGCCTCTCGCGCGTGCGCCACATGGTGGCGCACGCCGGCACCCAGGGTAGGTTTTATGCAAGCTTGTGCTAATGGCGCTGGAAACCATGTTTTGTGCCCGAACTTCAAGCCTATTAGCATACGGAGGAAGTTGGATATGCGAGTTTGTGGTATGACAGCACGCTATTTCACCGAGAGAGCTCAGATGAGAGCAGAAGCAACGCAGCTTGCGCGCGAAAACTGAATCGCATCACTTCGAGAAAACTCTGCGCAAGGAAGTTCATGCACATATTTCCTTATTCTTACTTATTTACGAGTTCTCTGTGTTTTGCGCTTCCGGGTGTTCTTACGGGTATCCCTACATCGGGTTGCGTGCAATTCCTAGTCATACTTTCAGGTATCTCTTTTTCTATTGTCGCATTTAGCCATGGTTTCTAGGATGCAGGTTTTTAATCTCTAGCTGTTTTGGAAATACTATTGTTACTATTGAAGTGTAGTGAATAATAGGGAGAAATTGTACATGAAGATGGTTTTATTGGGAACGTTGTAGATTTACAAACAATGAAGCTATTCCGGTCCTGGAAACATATATTATTCTACTAGGTTGTAAGTATACAATGGTATATTTGTATTACTTGAAGTGCTGCAAAAATGAAAAAATTTCATTCTAAAGATCGTACGCCACCATGTGGCGCACGTCGTCCGTTATGGGTTAAATAGTAAATTCAATGTGGAAATGTTGATTTAGCAACTGCCTAAAGCAAAGAATGTAATGACAATGTAAACATTGAAGAGAAAACAGCTTGCAGTGGAGTTAGGAGGCAGCTGGAAGGCACTGTACACAGGTCAATCTGAAAGGTTAGAAATGTAAAGCAGCTACGAACCTAATCATCCCTTCCCTTTTGTTTTCTCTGTACATGGCTACGCACCCACAAAAACGATCCCATGCTCAGAATCCCAAACGGCGCCGTAGTAAGGCCCCATGGCATTCAGCGAGCTTTTTAGTTTCTTCAACCACATCATTATTTCAGATTTGGCAACGCTTTCTTGAATCGCTTCCAGTGTTCTACGCTAAATAAGTAAGTGCTTGAAACCGTGACTATCGTCAACACACCTGGTATTCTCTCTGGAAAAAAGCAAAGGTGAGGACGAGTTTCTGAATGTTTTGCGACTCTCTATTTTTTTCTGGTTGGGATCAGTTGTATGCAATGAGATTCTCTTACATTCGCAAGTGTCACGATTATAGATCCTAACCTTTGAGGATCAGTCCCTCTATTTAATCGCTGTTCTTATTTCAGGCCATCTTTGTCACTGCCTACAATTAAAGTGTTGCAGAATTGATCTTGGCTACGACTTCACCAGAGTTCTGAAATGGTTCGCCAAACGTGAAGATCGTATTATTCTTTTGTTCAATGCGCACAAGCTCGATGTCTCGGACGAGTTCAAGCGGTGCATTGAGGCGCTTAGTGGTTTCAATTGCTTTTGATTCTAATTCCCATCCCAACACACAATTTCGGGCGCCATGATGCCCAAACACGAGCCTGACTTTTGTTGTTAAGCTCTCGTGATAAACACAACTTCTGTGTTTCTGCAAGTCACAACGATGCGGATATGCGTC